CCTGCACATCTCCCACTGGGGATGTGCCCACAACCCAGGTACATGCCCTTGACCGGAATCGAACCTGGGACCCTTCAGTCCGCAGGCCGACGCTCTATCCACTGAGCCAAACCGGTTTCGGCAACATTATGGATTTAGAACCTTGGCAGCACCTGACAGTATCTATATCTTGGATAATATCTCTATCTCTCTATTTAGTTCTTTTAATTTTGATTAATCCATACCCAACATTTTCCTGGTTCCTCTTGCCTCCCCCAGATGTTTTTTTTTTAAATATATTTTATTGATTTCTTACAGAGAGGAAGGGAGAGGGATAGAGAGTTAGAAACATCGATGAGAGAGAAACATCAATCAACTGCCTCCTGCACACTCCCTACTGGGTATGTGCCTGCAACCAAGGTACAAGCCCTTGACCGGAATCGAACCTGGGACCCTTGAGTCCGCAGGCTGATGCTCTATCCACTGAGCCAAACCAGTCAGGGCCCCCAGATGGTTTTGACTGCATTTCCTTCATGGCCCCCTGCCTACCCTTAAATGTTGGTACAGCCCCAGTGTTCTACCCTCAAGCTACTGCCCTTCGCAGTCCACATATTCTTCTTGGGCAATGCCATCCAGTCTCCTGTTTTGCACTACCACCTGGAAACTGAGGAGTCTCCAATTTATCTCCACTCCTCACCTCTCCACCCAGTTCAGACTCCTGTATCTAAGAGGGAGCACCATCTCAGAGCAGGTCTTCACCACCATAACCCCGGCACCAGCACAGCATTAAATGAGTGAATGCACTTGGCACACTCATGGCCACCTCAAACTCAGTGTGCCCCCATCTGAACGCATTGACTTTTCCCTGAATCTACTCCCAAATTTTCTTCCTTGGTGGCATCACAACTGCTTCAGTCCTGGGGTCACTCTCTTACCACCACCGTGTCCAATCAACCATAAGGGCGCAACTTCTCCCACCACCACAAAGTGCTCCCAGACACTCCCTGTCAGAGGTCTAGCTCCGCTAGTCTATTTTATGTTATTGTTAATCCTCACCAAGGATATTTTTCCCAATGATTTTTAAAGAGAGGAAGGGGAGGGGAGGGGAGAGAGAGAGAGAGAGGGAGAAATATTGATGTGAGAGAGACACATCAATTGGTTGCCTCCTGCAAGAGCCCCTGGATCAAACCTGCAAAAAACCGGTCACCCTTTGATGCAGTGGCTGATGCTCTAACCACTGAACCCACCGGCCTGGGCTAACTCCTTTAAACGATGCTCGGACTCCTATTACAGTTGCCACTAAATTCAGACCCTCCTCTTGTCCCCTTCACTTTCTGTTCTTCTCCATCTTAGTATTGACCACAGATTTTTAAGTGTCTCTACATTAAATTGTAAACAGCTTCAAAGTAGGGTCTATGTTTTATTCACCTTTATATCTCTAGCACAGTGGTTCTCAACCTTCCTAATGCTGCGGCCCTTTAATACAGTTCCTCATGTTGTGGTGACCCCAACCATAAAATTATTTTCGTTGCTACTTCATAACTGTAATTTTGCTACTGTTATGAATCGTCATGTAAATATCTGATATGCAGGATATATTTTCATTGTTACAAATTGAACATAATTAAAGCATGGTGATCAATTACAAAAACAATATGTAATTATATATGTTTTCTGATGGTCTTAGGTGATCCCTATGAAAGGGTCGTTCGACCCCCAAAGGGGTCGTGACCCACAGGTTGGCGACCCATAGGTTGAGAACCCTGCTCTAGCAAGTAGCAAATGCTCTTTTTATTAAGTAGGACCACTTAATAAATTTCATCATGTAAATAATTGCGTAAGTGTATAAGTGACTTATTACATAAGCGTTTTATTGCTTCATAACCTGCATTCAGTAAATATTTGCTCAAAAGCAATACTCAAAAATAAAACCCCAAACCTCAACCCAGTATAAAAGTAAAAACCTGTTAAATTTGACCAAGGGTACACTTGAGTGTTACTTCTTTAATAAAACTTCACTGTGCAAATGATTAAGTACATAGGTGATTTACTGTGTCAGTACTTTACTGTTCAGTGATCTGCAGTCAATAAACATTTCAATAGATTAAAAAATAAAATCCAGCCCTGGCCGGTGTGCTCAGGGGTTAGAGCATCAGCCTGCACACTGAAGGGTGGAGTCAAGGGTTTGATTCCCAGTCAAGGGCATGTGCCTGGGTTGTAGGTTTGATACTTGGCTCAGGTCAGGGCATATGCAGGAGGCAAATGATTGATGTGTCTCTCTCACATCCATGTTTCTCTCTCTCTGTCTCCCCCTCCCTCCCTCCTTTCCACTCTCTCTTAAAAAAAAAAAAAATCAATGGAAAAAATAGTCTCCAGTGAGGATTAACAACATCAACAACAAAATCCAAAACCTCAATCAAGTTCGAAAATAAAAGCTAATGTCTGTTAAAGTTATGGAGTGTACATACATACGTTACCACATCACTGTAATTAAGTTCCCCACTGAGGTTCTAAAATTAAAGCCACCTAAGTAGACACAGGGTGATAAAGGCAGGAGACCTGATTTCTTCCCAGCTGAACCAGGTTAAATACAATGCTTCAAAGGCTGAGTCTGCTTAGCTGACCGGCCTTAAAATTCCAGCTGAAATGCCTGCAGGTAAACAGGAGAGCTGCAGTTTCTGGAAGCCAGCCCTCCTTCTCTGAGCTCTGTAACTAACAGCCCCTGGTAGCTGAACCACTATGAACCCATCTGGGCTATTCAGGGGACCTATTTGTGTCAACACACCATGTTTGCTGTGAAGTTGTGATGCATTTAAGCATAAGGAAGGATGGAGAAGTGGACATCACATGGTCCCTGGCCTCACTGAGCTTGCAATCTGACAGGTAGTGCCACTCATGAGCAACGGTGGGTCACGGACTGCTAAGTTGTTTGGTCTCACAAGGCTATGACCGAGAATTCAGGCAGAGTCCTGAGTGTCCCTCTGCTTGATGACTGCAGTGAAATGTGTTAAACCTGGACAAGGTCTTGTCTCTGATTAATTCCAGTTCAGCAGCTTAACAAGAATGCATTTCTAGAATGTGATGTAATAGGTAAGGGGAGCAGCACAAAGATGGGGGTGGGACCTCCGATGATGTGACTCAGTGGTTGAGTGTCGACCTATGAACCAGGAGGTCATGGCTCAATTTCCAGTCAGGGCACATGCCCGGGTTGCAGGCTTGATCCCCAGTGAGGGGTGTGCAGGAGGCAGCTGATCAATGATTCTCTCTCATCACTAATGTTTCTCTCTCTCTCTCTAGTCTCCCTTCTTCTCTGAAATCAATAAAAAAATAAATAAAAATATATTTTAAATTAAAAAAAAAAGATTGGGGTGGGGGAGGATAGGAAACTTGCCCTGCTAGAGTAGGAGATTCATTGAAATTCAACTCAACCCTTATTATTCGTGAATTAATGCAACCTTTCCTGGAGACTAATATCCAACAGAATTTCAAATGTACCTAGGAATTGTACTTCTGGGAATTTATCTCACAGATGTGCATCCATAAGCACAGGTATAGATATAACAGGATGCTCATAGCAGCAATGTTTGTAGGAACGAAAACAAGGGAAAGAATCTAAATGACCAAAAACAGGAAACTGGCTAATTAAAATACAATGCAACTTTTAAAAAAAATTTAGTGATGGTGTGTGCTTTTATGTTCAACTATTGATAAGACAAAAAAGAAAGTAATGTTTTCGAAGACTACTATGCATGTATATGTTGGTCCTGCACAGAAAATCTTGGAATGATACTCAAGAAACTTAATAATGGTAACCCCTAAGTGGGACCCTCTAGTAGGGAGTGTTAATGTAAACACACACACACACACAAAACATTCAAACCTGCAAACAATTTTTGTGAGTTTATTTGAGCCAAACTGTTGACAATTGCTGTGAAGCAGAATCTCCATGAATTGGGATAATGCTCTGGAGAATGACAGTTATTAACCTTGTTTTATATATTACAGTCAAAGGATGAGGGGGAACCTCTGGGATTGGATAAAAAGTAAAATGACAGGCATATACTTCTTTTACTTTGGTGGGTGCAGGATGGTTAACAGTCAACAATTAACTCAATAACAATGAAGGGATTTGTGGTCTGTGTCCAGGAGCCCTCATGCCTTTGGTTGTGGCCCGAGGTCCGGAAAAAGGGAAGTTACAAGTTACCCTGACTTTTCACAGGTATGTTATTTTAGATGCAAAAAGAAATAGGCTCAGTCAAGGTATAGACTGACCTTTGTGAGGCTTAGAAAGTGAGTACCTACTATAAACTGCTTTTACTTGAAGTTTTAATTTCAGACCATCCTTTGTGGTTACGTTAGGATCAGTGGTCGGCAAACTGCGGCTTGGCAAACCGCAGCTCGCGTGCCACATGTGGCTCTTTGGCCCCTTGAGTGTGGCTCTTCCACAAAATACTAACTTTTGTGCATGAGCCACGAAGTTTCAATCGCACTGTACGTGTGCGCCCGCACATGGTATTTTGTGGAAGAGCCACACTGAAGGGGCCAAAGAGCCGCATGTGGCTCGCGAGCCGCGGTTTGCTGACCACGGGTAGGTCTCTGAGTTTGCAAGACCAGGCCTTCCCTGAGCTTGTCAGGTTAGCATGTGGCCTCTTTCTCCTCCACAGGAGGGAGGGGATTTTACATTCATCTTTACACTGTTCTGCACTGTTTGAATTTTTTAGTTGTTCATGTATTATTTTTTTAAAAATTGATTTCCGAGAGGAAGGGAGAGTGAGAGGGAGAGAAACACCAATGATGAGATAGAATCATTGATCGGCTGCCTCCTGCACTCTCGCTCCACAGTGGAAACTGAGCCTGCAAGCCAGGCATATGCCCTGATCGGGAATCCAACCGTGACCCCCTGGTTCATAGGTCAAAGCTTAACCACTGAACTATGCCGGCCGGCCAGGACCATGTATTACTTTTATAATTTAAACAAACAAAAATATTTTTTAAATTTCAAAACCAACCTGCATGTCACTTCCTCTGTGAATTCCTATTACCAACACCACCCCTGCCAGCCTTCCCTCTTCACACCTTTCTAGCATCTCATATTTATTATAATAATTAGCAGTCTGGTGGTGAGATAGCTTTCTAATTCATCCCTGAATTGGGTTCTGAAGAAAAAAGTAAAATTCAGCACTGGGCACATCTCTGACACTGCTTATAAGGCAGCAATTAATTTTATAAACATCGTAGGCAAGCCCTCTGCACTTAACCATTAGGATCCATTCACCAGTAGGATCGTTCTATTGTCAGCCCCACCCCCAAATAAAGAAAGCTGTACCTTGGAGGGCTTGTATCCAAACAGCATTACAACCGCAACTTTGAAGTCCTCTCTGCTTAGATAGCCTTTGTTATCTTCATCACATGCTTTGAATACCTAAAGAACATTAAATAGCTTTAGTTCAGACCGAAACCGTTTGTTCTATTATTTTTATTACCAGCTTATATTACATTTGAACCTCCAAAATCTAAAACTCGGCCCACCAGTAGGCTCGGAAATGGAGTTTCATTATCCTACTTTTAATTCTCCAGAAATCTTAATGATTGGGCTAAAATATGCCCCTCCAGAGTTCCAACGACTTAATCGCTAAACTGACACAAACAAGTTAATTCCTTTAGACTCTTAGGATAATTTCAACCCAACATTCGGTCCTAGAATCAGGAAGGTGAGTCGAAGGGGCTTGCTTTGAAAGGCGGGAGGAGAGGTGCAGATGACTAATGGACTGTGTAGCGGAGACGAAAAAGGACGGACTAGCAGCCAGAACCCAGGACAGGAGGCCGAGCCGTGCAGCCTTTGGCTCAGTCATTAACAATGTCCCTTTGCACCGCGGCTCGGTCAGACCCAAGTGGGAGTTCCGAATCAAGTTAAAATCCGAGACACCTACTTCCACCCATTTCTTGTGTTCCGACGGGCTGGCTTCCCACGTGCGTGGCCGGGCCCCGACGTCGGAGAAAAACATCGCGACCGTCAAAGCAGCTGCCTCAGGAGTCAGACCCCGACGAGCTGCAGACCACCCGCCGCGCACACTGCGGACCTGGAAGCTGAAAGTGGCCGGGCACTTCCAATGTCTTCTCCCATTGGACGGCCCGTCCCGCAGTTCTATTGGCCAAACGCTTTGTTTATAACGTTTCCCCGGAGCAGCCTATGGCGGAGAGGCTCCCAGGCCCGCCCCCGGGGCTAAGCCCCGCCCCGTCTGGTCCCCTTAACTCCACGGGCGCCGCTGGGGAGCTAGTTCACCCGGTGCTGCTTCAATGATGCTTCTCATTCTCGGCCCCCACACCTCGCAATAAATGGCTGTTGGTAATTTTGATCTACAGCGTTGTGCTAACTATCACGAGACACAAAAAGAGTGTGAACAAATTATAATAGGAACGGAACAAAAAGAACCAAGTCCAGGATTCGCGTGCACATCAGCAAGTCACTGGGGTCGAGCCCGCCTGGGTCAGCGGTGTCTCTCGGTAGCCCCAGCACCCAGCACGATGCCTGGCGCAAAGCAGACGAACCGAGTGAACCCTGAGCACATTTACGCAAGTCACTTCATTCAATCCCCAGGCGGAGGAGCTTGATATGAAAGAAACTGAGGGAATAAGTAGCATAAAAAGCACTTAGCCCAAATTCCAGAGCAAACATCCTTATTAAAGACACGGAATGTGGAGAGGGTTGCGTATTGCAAAGGCGTTTATCGTAGATGCTTTTCTTCTGGCAAATCAGAAAGATTAAAAACCACACATACACACCGGCACACAAGCACGGATTCGAGTCCGAGTTTCAACTAAGAAACAGTCATTCGAGTCCCAGTCCGAGGGGAGCTCATTTAACTTTTTATTTCACAACAGGTTTTACAGTGTGCGCCCCAGGCAAACCCGCTTCTCCCGGGGGACAGGTCTCAGCCCTCAGCTGCCTCGAACCTCAGCTGGTCCTCTCTCTGCCTTTGAACATCTATCCACCACCACCACCACCACCACCACCACCCTCCAGCCCTGGGAGTCTGAGGTTGTCCGTGAGAATCCGTGTAAATAGGATGAGCTTTGCTAATTAAGATAGAGGGAGGTAACAATTCTTTTTCTCCCACCGATTTTTTTGTTTTTGTTTGAGAGGAGTGGCCAGGAGGTGAGCGAAGACCTAGAGGCAGCCAGGTCTCCCTCGCCTCTTCCTGGGAGAGCCCCAGGCAGCGCCTGTGGACCCGGCGGTCTTT